TAGATGAAAAGGATGAGAAAGATGGCCCATAATTAAGGTGTGAGATTTTCTGAGCTTATTGCTTCTGGGTGCAGCTAGCCGGCGCAGAGCAACACCAAAAGTACTCCGTAGTCTGTACTAAGGATCCTGTACATCAGCTTCAGTAGCATCAATGATCCACCTAAATCTCTTGCGATATCAACAGATAATTGGCAAATCCTACCACAAATAGATCCTAGACATTTAGAGGAGTGCTATAAGCATATAACAGTTTGTATCAGTCTCTTTTGTGGCTAAATGTGAATCTAACCTCACAGCTTCCTCTTCCAGCAGGCACAATGTATTCTTTAATCATAGTGAATATGGAAGCTGTAGCCCCTAGTGACTTCTTTCTTCTGTCCAACATTTCCAAAACCTCTTAACTATCTGATACCCTGCATTTGCCACTGCAGCTATAGGTTCTGTTTGGTGATTTCTTGTGTTTCTCCCATCGCATCACTTAGTAATTAGTGCATTTACTGGATTTCATTTCAGACATTGTGTATCCTTCTCAATCAACCTACTCCTCTGACGTATGAAGAAGTCACGCGAGTCTTCTTTCCTGTCTAGCACGCGAGGATCACACTGAGCTGAGAACCGCTGCTGATATCGACATTCAAGAAGATGACTTCAGAGGACCTGAGCATCGCCAAACAGACACTGTCTTCGTCACTAGCTCTTCGCTCACCCTTGAGAAGCAGAAATAGGTACGTCTTAGTTCAGCAGTAGCGAGAGACGTCCATATTGATAAGGTGGTTCTAGGATCGAGAGACCAGCCACTCCATCTGCATCTTGTGAGGAATTAGCCCATTATCCCGTCTTCAACCCACGCGACCCTCGACACAACCCTGCAGCCTCTGCATCTTTGTGGCTGCAAAGTGATTACTTCCGATCTCAAGCATCAAGAACACAGAATTCAGTTAGCTGGATGCAGGATTTGCCGAGGAGGTCACTCCGCAAAGCGCGATCGGGTCTGCTGGCCCTTCGTTCTGGAATGCAAAGACGACCGCTTCCAGGCGGCCACGCTCGGAGAAGTGATATACCTAGTATTTGGTCCTCGAGAGACTCTACAGAGGGCTCATCTGATCATTTTCCGTCGTCAGTGTCGGACGCGAGCACAGAAGACGATCGCGAGTTCGGCACCGGTCTCTATCGAACAGCTCGAAACCATTCCTCCTCAAGCGAAGCTCTGAAAGATCACAGCCATAACACTGTGCCTCCCACATCGCCGTTGCCTTGTACCGTCCGTGAGGGCTTAGAGGGCATTGGGTTGAGGAACTCCCTAGCCGCACAGGAAAAGAGAGGAGTCAATGGTACATCAGAAGCAGGGGTGGATGGTGCGTCGAAGACAGCAACGACGGTGGGGGCACCTCGAGAGCACGTCACCGAGCCTGAGCACCACTGTCACATCCCGGACGAATCAAGTACAGTCCAAACCTCGACTCATGCCTTTTCAAATTCGCCATCTGCCAGTCTCATTGAGCTTAGCGGAATAGAAGCGACAACGGAACACACAGCATCATCAGAAACATCGAAGGCAGCATCCCAAAAGAGGCCCTTAAATTCGCAGCCGAGTGAGGACAGTATGAAAGATATATGCTCGCAGACCCATGATCCGAAGCCTGGTATATCCCATTCGCCAGTTATTAACCCTGAGAAGCCGACAGCGCCCGAGAGTCCTGAAGAGTTGGTCAATCCAAATGTTCGAGAACTCAATGAATCGACTCGAGGCCACGAGATCGCTCCACCACCCATCGCTTCTGGTTCCACTGACTCAATGGCTTGTTTATATGTCTCGAGCCGTTCCCCGTCTAGGTCATCCTCTGTCAGCTCTCGTGAATCAACGTTTCGGCAGATACCAGCCGTCCAATTGATGATGGGAACACTTGAATTTTTTGCGTCGTCAAGAGAATGCAGCAGCGGTGGTCAGACCTTATGTTGCAGCGATGTTGCAGAAAACGATCTCATATCACGGGCAATTCACCATGCTCCAGCCGACCATACCGAGGATCGAAATGTACCAGCGGAGACAGAGCCTCAGCAGTCTAGAGCCGCGAACGTAGGAGAGACGCAGGTAACTCAAGCTGGTGCATCTTTCACAGTTAGTATCACCTTTAATGATACCCTCTCGTCACTGACGAAATCATAGGAACCATCAGAAGCGAGATCCAGTGCGCAGGAAGAGGAAACTGCGAGCTGCCTGCTGCCCGCTTTGGACGACACTGATTCCCTTGGAATCCAAAATAGTTCTGACCCGTGCGTGGCTCGAAGACCACCCTCTCCAAGCCAGACTGAAGATGGCGCGTCGGATTCAGATTTCATCAGGTCACCAATTGAGATCGATGACGCACTCGCCTCACTGATTTTCAGAGACGAGTTCTTTTTTGTCGATGGCAAATCGAGTGATATCGCCCCTGATCGTGGAGACAATCCTATAAAAACAGGGAGTCGAATTGCGAGAGATGGTGGAATTTACAGTGGTCCGGGACTCGACCGTAACACGTCAGTCAGAACGCAGGAGATCCCAGAGATTGTCGGACCAGGTATGTACACTTCGCGTCGGGGTAACCTGCCGAGTCTCGAACGAGACGCAAGCGATTCCACTGATGAGTGTATTGTTACTTACCCCATGTGGGAACGACGTCAATTCCCATGATGTCGGGGTATACGTAAGTTACACGACTGCACAACGGAAGAAGCCGGAATCGGAATGCGTTATTTGCGCCATTTTCATTGTCTCTGTATTGTTAATGCACCTTGTATACTTATGTCTCAAGCGCCTGCGGTAAGGATTGCTGGGTTGAATGGGCACCGGTTGGAAATGACACTCTTTTGTAAAAATAATGCATGCAGAGCCTCTTTCTGATAGATGACTACCGCTAAGATGTTTCTGTTCATATGAAATTAGAAAATAGACTCCTTCAGCTGTGTCCCCAAGACACAAATGCTGGCCTTGTCTTGACCAAATCTCTCAACATCGCACTTGGTAGCATGAAAGGCTAACCCAGACGCAAGGTGAAGCCAGCGCCTGTTTCCCCGGTATCGCCACTGGATTGACCACCGAATACACTGGCAAAGTCCAAGGCGGGAGCTTCCTGACCGCGCTTCGGCGCCTCTGGAGTCTCACGACGCCTTCGTCTCTCCATGCCTGCCTTGGATGGGAAGGTTGGAAACATCTCTTTTGGCTTTGGTCGCGGGTCCTCCCGGAAATATTTATGTGAGAGACACTCCTGAGCAGTAGGGCGCGCACTTGGGTTCAACGCCAGTAAAGACGACAGAAGCCGCAGACCGGCATTGGTGAGAAAGGGGAACTTTGAGCGGGGAAGTAAGGGAGGAGTTTCAGTCGGCCCCGATGAGGATGTAGGTGGAAGGCGAAGTGATTTGGCATTGGGAAGGGAGCGGAAACCAGGCCATGTTTGCTGAGTAGGAGGGCCCGTAAGAGCGAATATCTGGGTTTATCTGTCAGCGCGAGCGGAACTAAAAGTAAAATGAAAGCAGGTGTTTTACCTTTGATACTTGATCGACTTCGTTTTTACCCTGCAGCAAGGGTTCTTTGGTGAGCAATTCGCCAAAGATGCACCCAATACTCCACATGTCGATTTCCGGCCCGTACTTTTCTGCGCCCAGCAGGAGCTCCGGGGAACGGTACCAGAGCGTTACAACCAGCTGGGTCAGCTTCGGCGGCGGATCGCCGTAGTACCGTGCCATGCCGAAGTCGGCAATTTTGATCTCGCCTCGGTTGTTCATCAGGAGGTTTGAGGTCTTCAGATCACGGTGCATGATCCAATGGGAGTGCAGGAACTCGAGGCCGGAAAGGATTTGAAGCATGAGGGTCTTGATTTCCGAAGGGAGGAACGGTTCGCGCATGTCGTCGAGTAAGGTTTTCAGATCATGTTCGAGGAAATCCATGACGAGGAATACACTGTTGGCGGGATAGAGGTGCCCAGAGCCCCGAATTGGTTAATACTGGTGTATCTTGAACTTTTCAGGATGGAAGCAGCACCAATGCTGGAAGAGGGCATTGAAAGACTGGGGGTAGAGGCTAGGAAGGGCCAGCATACTCATCCATTTTAGTTCCCATGACGACCTCGCGGAGATATACAATGTTCGTATGGCGAGCTTCCAAGAGCGTTTGGATCTCCCGTAATCCCGTTACCGGGAACCCATCCGGCGAATTCTCCATCTTAAGCTTCTTGAGAGCCACCACCTCCCCGGTGGTGATATCCCTCGCCCTACTCACCCACCCATACGAACCCTCCTCGATGTGGTTCAGCCGTTCAAAGTTATCCACAAGCCGACAGGGTCCCCATTCGGGCCCAGGAAACCGCAGAAGTGTCGATCGTGTCTGCTCAGCTGGCGCTTTGGCTGCAGACCCCGACGCTGCAGAGGGCCGGGGCTGTTCGTTCGACAGCCGGCGACGCTTCTTGGGCGGAGCTTCCGAGTCGCCATTGAGCGCGTCTGCTTGCTGCTGCTGCGCGGCTTGTGCGGTCTGGAGTCGTGCTTGCTCCTCCAGCTGACGCTGTTTCTCTGCCTTGGCGCGTTTCTTCTCTTCCTTTTCGCGTTTTCGCTGGGCGATGATGGCGTCTTCCTCGGGGTCTTCGGCGGCCCAGCGCGATTTTGACGGGGCGGACATGGCCCCTATGAGGGATTGGGAGAATCCAAAACCAGTAGATTTGCTGATTGATGCGAATAATGTCGTTGATGAGTAGCGTTTTAATCAGCTTCGGGTTGGGAGATGAAGTCGGGAAGGAGATGGTACAGCCTGGCTGGGATGGTGACGCTATCGGAATAACAAAACTTGGGCCGAACTCCATCGCCGATTTCAAAGCCCCCGCCTGGTCCCGCTATGATTATTAACTCGCGGAGGGGGACGGAGTATGTTCTTCTGCTTTAAATACAGCCTCTAAAGTTATTGATATATCCTTTTCTATCTTCTCTAATTGCGAGGATATATTCTCTGGAGCTTTTAGCGACATACCGAAATGATTGAGCCGTTCCAGGTTTGTTTTGGGTTCTTGGCTGATATGGATGCACAGTGCCATTGCGATCGATTACTGACTCCACTTGATGACAGACCACCTTCGCGGTGCCCATGACCTGCGAAAGCTGTGTCAAAGATGTATCAAACTCGCTTTATAAAGTTGAAGGTTCGTGCTTATCGAGACTAGGCATTTAGCTCGAAACCAGGTACTGATTCATTTTCGTCCTACACAGGCGTCAAGAAGGTGGAAGCGAATCTTAAAGACCAGCTCGTCTTTATCGAGGGCACAGCGCCGCCTAGCTCGATAGTCACTGCCATTCAAGCTACTGGTCGAGATGCGATTCTACGTGGAAGCGGCACATCAAACAGTATGTTATACCTCCCCTTGAGCCGACACACTTGCGAGGGTGGTACTGATCTGGTGGTGTGATACGCGACAGGTTCTGCCGTCTGCATATTAGAGACGCACTCGACGACCGTACCGAATAAGATCCGTGGACTGGCACGCATGGTACAGGTGTCCCCGAACATGACTCTGGTAGATCTGACAATCAACGGGCTGGCACCGGGAAAATACTGGGCGACTGTCCGGGAAGCGGGGGATATCTCGCGAGGCGCAGAGTCTACTGGGGGTATCTGGGAGGCTTTGAAGGCTAAGGTGATGGGTTCCGAGGCGCCCAAGGAGCCGCGCGGCGTGTTTGGGAGTGTGGATGTGGATAAGAACGGGCGGGGGAATGTCTTCTTGGATCGACCGGTGGCGATTTGGGAGCTGATTGGGCGGAGTATGGTCGTATCCAAGAGTCAGGAAGGCCCATTTCAACGAGAGGACCCTGATACATTGGTCGGCGTGATCGCTCGCAGTGCGGGTGTGTGGGATAACGACAAGACGGTCTGCTCATGTTCGGGAAAGAATGTATGGCAGGAGCGCCAGGAACAGGTCTCTCAGGGAATGGTGTAGACCTTTGGAGTCTAGTCTGTCTCCCGAATCTTGCATTGATTTATGATACCTATCGCGGAGATGATGTCAATTGAACAGAATGATTTGTTGCATCAGCACTGCAGCCCGCTCAAGAAAGAATGGTAGGCGTAAAGGGAGCTTGGACCTGTAAGATTCTCAGTGAGACATAATACTCCGAACCTCCTTTGAGTGGACAATGGGCACTGGGCACTTGGCACTGGCGCTGGTGTATCTCGCGCACGGCCAGAGCGAGCAACACAATTGATCAAGACAAGAACAGCGGACCATTGTCTCCAAGGACAGCTGACCATCGGATCAAGATCCAAGATAACAACGCGGCATGTCAGAACACCTCCGCAGAAATGGTAGCAGAGGCCTAAATATAGACAGACAAAGTCTTTAGAGCAAGCGCCAGGAGATGGTCATTGGACAGTCGTTTCTTCTCCTGCATTGGTAGTATTGTTCATCCCTGTCTGACCGATGGCAGCGTCTTGTCCTTGCATCAATAATCGAGCTAGTGGCTGCCATGCTAACATTTACATGACTATCGTGAGTTCTAGCTCGATCAATAATTGAGGATACTAGAAACCCAAGCAGCTAGTGGCAGCCCAAGGTCAGTGAGTGCATTACTCCGTCATTAGCGAGCTAATCATGTTGGTCACTAACCGAAGTATTCCCTAGCATGGCAATAAGGGCCGAAGCCATCTCTATTGCTCTAAATGGAGTCTTGAAGAGATGTATCTTCCGAAACCACTCATGGCTGTCTGTACAAGCGCCGTGGCGGGGATGCGGGAGAGCCTAAAACCGGTCGATTTGCTGGATGTGTGTTAGCATGAGAAGAGTTGGTGGAAGCATCTTTCTTATTAGTTGCGGGAAGATTTGAAGGATTCTGCCAACTCATTTCATGTCAGTAATGGATATCTAACCCCATTCACCTCGAATGGCCTGACAAGAGTAGAGAATAATAGAATCCTCCCTTGAGGCAGAGTGAATGTGATGGTAAATGATGGCCCCACATTGATCGGGACGGGCCTTTTGCTGGAGCCCATCAATCACCTTTTCGGATCACCAAGGACAAGGGCCCGTTCGCCTTTCTTCACCCTTGATTGTTCAACTTACTTCGTGATTATCGAATCTTGTTGCACACTTCTCGATCAAATCAGATCAATCAGATCCCTTGAATGAGGAGGATATCAATTTTCTCCCCTCAGCCAAGTCATCGATTCCTCCATGGGCCATTCCACAACGTCCTGTCGGGCTAATAATATCATAATATAAGTGGATGGGATAATCCTCATGACAACCATCTAGGATGATTATGCTTCTCGACGCTGGGCGCTTACGGCTATTCAGGAGCATCAAATCATCAATTGAACTGCATCCCTCTTCTCCATCGCTTCCTTGGCAACTGTCCACTCTCATCAACGACGGTAATTATTCCCCCCTTTCCCGTGAGTTTCCAGTTTCCCAATCTCTGTGCTCATCTCCGATTTAGTAGTACTCGACTTATGCCTCTGACATTCCTATTCTGTACAGAACGCTAGCCGGCCTCTCCTCAGTTGAGTAAGGTGGACAGACACTAGGGACTGATTCGTATCCTTGCCACTTTTCTTCTGCTGCAGGCCCCATCTCTGAACGTTCCTTGCTTCTCCCTCTTTTTCCTCCCTGCTTAATTATTTTTTGTTTTTTATTTTTCCATGACGACTCCTTGTCGCTCATTCCGTCCTGCCAATCTCTATTCAAGAACTTCGGATCAGGCGTCGTTCAAAGCGGCCAGGTGCTGGAGAATAGAAAAGTCTCAGAAAGCAGCTTGACTGCACAGAAATCCGAAAGATCGATCAATCCATATGACATACTGTGCTCATTTCTTACTACTAACAGATTTTGGGCTTTCGGCTCTCTTAGACCAGCAGATGATCTAATTATAACTTCCAACCCATCGTTCGTCCAGGATCACGAGGGGACTAAGATTCCCGGGATCGACTGGGCATTCTGTCCAGAATAGCAGACCTTCGGATTGCAAAAGACAGGCTATCTAGTTGCTGGGCACTCAAGCCACAAAGTACCACCACCGCACCACGAGAGAAGGACTTCGTCCTGGTTCTTCAAAGGCCCTGCCCCGCCCCGCAGCTTTAGCTCCTACGTGCATCCCGTCGGACTCATTAATACCCCTGCTCACTGCGCCAGCCCACTATCTCGCATATCAGAAAAACTGGTCAGCCTCTTGGCTTCCAGTGACCGCCATATATAACATAACCCTGCTTTTACTACTCCGTTGTGTGGGTGACCGTCATCCGGCTTCCCTCGTCTCGACTCTTGTGAAACTACCTGGGGCTGAGTGGGACGGGGATATCGTCGGCTATTGCGAGCTCTTCTTGGTCTTCATTTAGGGGCGCAGACATAGAGTTTGATTTTACGGAAAGATGTCATTGAAACAGGTATGAGTGACCCTCGATCTCGCAATGCAAATCTGACAGAGAGCAGGAAATTGAGACATGGGTGTTGGCTCTGGAACACTACGACAATCAAGAGTATGAGGAAGCCATACGGATCTTTGGTCATATTGCGGATACGTCCAAGATATTCTTCAATTGTGGAGTCATCTATGCAACGCTGGGAGAGCATGAAAAAGCCGTATGTTTATTTATTCGAAACGACAAGACGGCAGTGTCCACTAACATTCGGCTAGGTCCAATGTTACCAACGCGCCGTCAGTCTAGACCAGTATCTTGCCATTGCCTATTTCCAGGAAGGCGTGTCAAACTTCCTTCTAGGCGATTTTGAAGAAGCATTGGCCAATTTCAATGATACCCTTCTCTATCTCCGAGGCAATACATCCATTGACTACGAGCAACTGGGCCTGAAATTCCGTCTCTTCTCGTGTGAAGTCTTGTTCAATCGGGGGCTCTGCTATATCTACCTGCAACAAATGGGTCCAGGCATGCAGGACCTCGAATACGCAGCGAAAGAAAAGGTCACTCCGGACCACGATGTTATTGATGACGCCATTCGGGAGAGGGCAGAGGTATAACCTATAGTGCCTTGGTCGTTGAGTTTTTGCTGACCGAAGCAGGGGTACACGGTGTTCTCGATTCCCGTCGGAGTAGTCTATCGACCCAACGAGGCCAAAGTCAAGAATCTCAAAACAAAGGACTATCTAGGCAAGGCGAGACTGATTGCAGCGTCATCTCAAGGCAACGCGCGGAATGGACACCTACCTACGGATTTGATACGAACTCAATCAGCGTTCGATGACCGCCCCGCCGAGAGCATCTCGTTCGCTGCCACGAACCTGGTGCAAAAGAATCTGTCGGGACGAAGTCGTCAGCAGTCGGAACCCCCGCTAAACCGCACTTTGTTCCCACCTACGCCACCTCCAGAAGGTGACAAGTCTATCACAAAGAGCCCTTCCGGTGGTAGCGTGGGTGCCAACGGTAGACCAGGTTCCGTTCGAGCGGCGCGGCCTCCTCGGCTCAACCTCGATCGTCCGGGTTCTCAGCCCAATGGGAGGAGTAGCGCGGCCATGCCCGCTTCCGACAAGCCACGGATTGGGACGACTCGTACGGCCTCTGAACCTCGTGGACCACCCAGCCGACATTATCCACGGGGGCTCAATGGTTCAGAGGCCGACAGATATCTTCCTCCTCGGGAAACAGGAGGCCACAGGAGAGGAACCAGCGAAACAAGTTCTGCATCAGTCCCTCGGAATGGCTACGGTGAGGACGCAGGCGGAGTGTACACAAGCCCACGATCTATGGCCAGTAGCGGGCGAAGAGGCGTACCTCCTCAGCAGCAACGGTACATTGACGAAGAAGAGGAATACGTGGGCGATATGTGTGGTGCGCATGGTGCCCGCGGCACCTACGAGTCACCCGGCAGTTCGCAGCGACGAACTAGATCGCCGATTCGAGAGTCAAGGCGAGCCGATTCACGCAGGCCTGATGTCCGCAGATTCCGGATCAAAGTTCATGCTTTCGAAGATACCCGGTATATCATGATTGGGCCCACGTTGGAGTACAGCGAGTTTGAAGCCAAGATCCGGGAGAAGTTTGGCTTTCGCTCGCTTCTACGAATCCGAATGCAGGATGAAGGCGACATGATTACGATGGTGGATCAGGAAGATTTGGACCTCCTACTAAGTTCGGCCACTGAGGCAGCTCGGAAGGAGGGCAGCGAGATGGGCAAGATGGAGGTGAGTCCGATCCAACACGTTTGTGAAACGACCAATAACTGACTGGTTTTAGATATGGGTTGAAGAAAGACCAATGATATAGTTCTGAAGGTGTTTTTTAGGAGAATTCTCTGGCTATAGATGAGTGGAGAAGCCAGTCTCTGCTGTTGCATTCTTGGTGCTGTCAGTGCTGATTTTCGATGTTGCATGATTTATACCCTTTGATGATTCGTACGAGCGGGATGATATTATTTTCAGTTTATGTATTTATATGGATACCCAGTGATTATTAACATGCAGCGTACATTGTCCATCAATTGTTGTAGGATGTAATGCGATAACTTGACAGTATCTTAGGTAAAGACTAGGGCAAGTCGGATCACGGGAGTGCGGACAGCGATTGACACCCACTGCGCAGTGACGTTGATTGTTGACAGCGAGGCTTCATCTTTTGTTACTTCTGTCCAGCTACAGCTCATCACAATCTCCGTAAAATCGATTTCTGGGGGATTATTTCGAAATGACCGACATTACCTCAGACATCAACCAAGTCCTCAAGGACAAAAATGCAAGCACCACAATCCCTAAGGGGGAGCCTCGCCCTCCGTCCACCGCAACAGCCGACGAGTTCCTCAAAGAAGCATACCGAATAGTCAGCGTGCCCCCGCCCTCAATGTCACAAACACATACTAACACACGGTAGAACTCGCACATCCACTCTCTCCTCCTCTACCTCCAATCCATACGCCACTCCTACCTCTCCACAACCCCAACCGTCCATCCCCGCACCACCTCCCTCCGCACCAGCCCAACCACCTCCACCCCGGCCAGCATCAGCACCAGCACCAGCACCCCCCAGAGCAAACCCCTCACCGACAGCGAACGCGACTCCATCGACTCCTCCACCGCCCTCCTCCTCCGCGACCTCTCCACCTCAATCGCCAACCTCTCCACCGCCGAATCCCTCCGCCAGGAAACCGAATCCGGCCTCCTCCGCAAGAAACACCGCGCCCCGTCTGCCCTCCTCCGCTGGGCCGCCGGCGCCTCCGCCCTCGCAAACACCCCCACCGAGAACAAATCCCCCGAGCAGATCCATGATGAAGAGCGCGCCCGCACCCTCCGCACCGTCCGCGAGAGCATCCTCTGGTTCCTGCGGCGGGGGCTCGAGCGCGCGGCCGAGGCCCAGCGCGATATGGTCGAGAAGCGTATCGAACGCGTCCGCGAGAAGGAGAAGAGCGTGTTGTATAAAAGCGAGGCGGGCGGGGCTAGGCCTGTCCCTGCCTCTGTTCCTGTATCTGTGTCTGGTCCCGGCCCGGCTACCGCGGACCCGCACTTGCGCGGGTCGACGCTGAGCGAGACCGAGACGGCGGCCATCGAGGCGGAGCTGTCCCCCGAGCAATTGCAGTTGTTTGCGGAGGAGAATGACCTCATGCTGAGGCAGTATGAGGATGCGTTGAGTAAAGTGCAGTACGTCCATGTTCATGTTCCTTTCTTCCCGTACATTCTGGTGGATGTAAGCTAATGATGTTCCCGTGCAGGAATGCCGAGAAATCGCTCCTGGAGATCTCCTCCCTCCAGCAGACGCTTGTGTCGCATCTGTCGACGCAGGAGGAGTATATCGAGCAGCTGGTCATGGATGCGTCTTCGACGACGACGAACATCGGGCAGGGGAATAAGGAGCTGAAGCGCGCGACGCAGCGGCGGAGTACGGCGCAGGCGGTGTTTTGGGGGACGGTGGGACTGTGTACCTGGCTTGTAGTGTGGGATTTGATTTTTTAATTGGTGGCATGGCATTACTGGACATATTACTACGATACCATATCATTCTAATCAGATGCATCATTGATAATAAGTGTGGTTCAGAATGAGTTCATTCAGGAAAACGGTCGCTCAAGGCGATCTACATATGCGAGTAGAGTAACGGGCCATGCAGAGTAAAAAGAAAATACATTCCATCCGAAGATGCGAAGGGGTAATTAGAATGGATAAGGGATGCGGACGGGTCATGACGGAGGACGGATATCTGGCGAAGAAATGAGCAGAAGCGGAGTGCAGCGATTATGAGGTCTCGCGGACGACGCTGTCGACCGCTTCGGCGAAGTAGTCGATGTTATGTGTGTTGAGGCCTGCCATTGAGATACGGCCGTTCTTGGTCTGGAGAAGAAAGTATTAGCTTGTTGTCTCGCAGTCAATCAGACCTAAGGTGGGTGGACAAAGGGAGGTGTAGCTATTTATAAGGGGCTGCAACTGCTGTGGCGATGATCCGAGGAGGGGGGTGGAGAACCCCAGAACTTGCGGTGTCTAGCCGGGGCTGCTGCCTGCGGAGCTATAAAAGGAGAAAGCCACTTACCATGTACACGTGCCACTTTTCTCTGAGGATCTTGACCTGCTCTTCGGTCAATCCGGTGAAACTGAACATGCCGATTTGACTGGTGATGTGTTCCCAGGTGCCGGGTGTGCCCTTTGCCTCGAGTCGCTCCCGCAGACCCTTGCGCATCTCCGCGATACGGCCGCTCATCGTGCAGAGGTCCTCCTCCCACTCGGCGAAGAGCTGGGGGTCATTGAGGATGCGGCTGGCGATGCGCGCCCCGTACGCGGGCGGATTAGAAATCTCGGAGCGCTGCAGGATGGCTAGCTGGGAGGCGATGTGGGCGTTGGCCGTTGAAGCGTCGGGGCCGGGAGCCGAAACGAAGTGGAAGGCGCCGGTGCGCTGACCGTACAGACCAAAGTTCTTGGCGAAGGACTGGGCGATGCAGAGCTCGAAGCCCTGATCGACGAAGTAGCGGATCGCCCACGAGTCACGGGAGAGATCGCCGGACGCGAAGCCCTGGTACGCTGTGTCGAAGAAGGGGAAGTGCTGGCGCTCGCGCAGGACGACCGCGACCTGCTTCCACTGGTCCTGGGTCAGGTCGACGCCGGTGGGGTTGTGGGCGCAGGCGTGCAGGACGATAATGGAGCCGGGTGGAGCTTCGCGCAGGGCACCGAGCATGCCGTCGAAGTCGAGACCTTTGGTTTTGGCGGAGAAGTAGGGGTAGTTGGCGAGCTTGAGGCCGACGTTGGTGAAGATCTGGTGGTGGTTGGCCCAAGTGGGGCTGGAGAGGTAGACCTTGGGGGGTACGGGGTGGAATTTGGCCAGGAACAATGCGCCCAGGTGCAATGCGCCGGTTCCTGAAATGGCTTGCAGTGTGCAGACCTAATATGAGCCCGCCGATTAGCTATCCGATATCCAACTACGGTCGCAAGGCATTCCAAGGGAGTGAGCGCGGGTCAACATACTCGCTTCTCGCGAATGGCTGCACTATCGGCACCGACTATGAGCTTCTGAGCCGCCGAGGTGAAATCTGGGAGACCCTTGATGGGGAGGTATTCATGGTTGAGGTTGGGGTCGTTGCGGATTGCCTCGTCGGCCTGGATCATATCCGTCAGTCACAGCCTCTTTCATCAGGATGATGTTACGGGGACGGTGAATCACCTTTTTTACTACAGGAAGAATCCAAGGCTTTGCGTTGTTGTCTCTGTAGGCGCCAATGACAAGATCGACCTTTTTATCTGAGGGATCCTGACGAAAAGCTTGAGCCAGACCGAAGAGAGGATCTTCTGGAGCGGCGGGCACAACGGCCGTGGAGAAGACGGACGGACTTGAGGAACCCATGATCTGTGAGGAGATGGAGGCGAGACGATTTCGAGCGACGGAGGATGATGGTGATGAGGAGGAAGAAGAAGAGGAGGACGTATAGGTGGTAGTTGTAGTAGTTGTAGTTGTAGGAGTGGGTAGACGCGGGGAAGACATGGCGCAGGATGCAGATGAGAATTAAATGACGGGTAAATAATGGTATGAGTAATAGAAACACAAAATGCGGGAATTTTTCCTGTTCTGGATCTTCTGTTTTCGCTCTCGAAACAAACTCAGCTATGACTGGGGTTTATTTTTGGAGATTGCTCATTCTCCAGTCACAATAATCATACCACTGGGGGAAAGGAATTCTGCTTGCGTTCACCGGGCGGAGCGATTCGGTCAACTGACAAGCCTGACAGGCCCAAGAAAGAAGCAGATAAATCCCGACGGAGTTATCTCACGGGTCCTTAATAATACCGCAGTCAGAGAATGCGATATATTGAAGATAATGTACTATGAGTAGACCGAGAAGAACGATAAGTCGATGAGGGGAAATCCAGTCCCAGTGAGGGGTATCTTTTGGTGTCTGAAAAGGGTAATATTGGGGATGGGAATAGTATCAATCCTGATCCCGAGTCAATAATAATACTCAACGACTTAAGACTGAGTCAAAACAAATAATCAGTCCATTAAGAGGTACTCATTCTCCCTCCTTTCGCTATTTATGTAAGAGAATCATTCGACCCAACTTCACCCGACTCGAAGCGTGATTTTTTCTCCTGACGGCGAGCCGAGGAACTTGTTCTGCCCCGATGCCGACTACAACCCAATGGCATGACGACATCACATGCTACAGTCTTTGTTAAAGCACTTCAAGTATTATGCTCTTATTCTTGTGATGGTTTACTCGGGAGCTGTCGAGGTACTTTGTAGGGACGGAGAATCTTTCGACTTTGAATGATATTCGTCGCATGCGTCATGTTCGGCCAACCAACCACCGAGGCTATAAAGTCAGCATCAGCATCACCATCAGTCCTTAGTAGTTATCTACTGTAAAGAGCACATGAGAACAATCAACAATGTTTAAGCTCCATACAGCTTCCGCCCTCTGTAATCGTAATCCTGACTTCTTGACCAGAAGATAACCTCATTATTATTGTTGATTCCTAAACGACAGAGTCCGGAGTGTTAATAAGGCTAAATGTGATCATCATCATTCCTGCGACAATAATTAACCGACCTCCCCGTGATTCGTAAAACTTTTGCTCCAGTTGGCAAAACATAAGTCAGGGACCCGGCGGAGTTACCCCGATCAATCTACCAGAGGTAGAGTGGTAGATGCGCGATTAAATTTCGGTTCTGGCCCGGCATCCACCCCGCGATTCTGAGTAGGTATCACTATGTACACAGTATTTTGCTTAGGTAGTGTTTGGTTTGTGATTCTACGGAGTACTCCGTAATAGAACATGCATTCTTTTCCGGCGTATGTGTGAACTCGTCGGGAAATTCGGTATTCGGGCGGCGGCAGTTGCGTAGAATTTTCGAATGTAGCTAATCATTCAGCCCACTCAAAAACGAACGGAGGCAAATACAGACCCCTGCCTTATGACTGTAGAATTCGGCCTTCATGCCGAATCACAGCGCGAGAAAAGAAGAAATCAGCAGCATCGTGGATTTGTGGCCCGCCATGAATCCACCGTCCCCCGTCCATTTTCCCCACGGGGTGGACTATTTCCGAATGAGGAAATTCTGTCGAAGCCGTCGCCGGATTCGGAACCCTTCGAGGCGGCATGACACTAACGCAGATGGTATGTATGCATTCATTCTTGAGTCACGTACATATATGTATAAAGAAGTGAAATCATGCCAAATGCAAAAGATCTTTTGTGGCCGCTGAAACCAAGACTCCAATCTTCCAAAACGCCCTGTATCACCCATTTCCGAACCATAACCGTAACCATAACCATGACCATGACCATATACTCATCAATCATCCAGACGAAAAAGTGAGAAGAGAGCAGTATCCAATAAATATCGGCGGACCAAGCCACACCTTGCCCTCATGGTACCCCAATCCAAAATCAGAATATAACACAGAAGAACAAATCGTAGATGACTGAAAGTCTTCTATACTAAGGCGATATGTGAGATTGTAAATCGAAATCGATCGGTTGGCATCAAAGTCGCATCGCCGGGTGACACTGTCCGCAACGAATCTATGATTGCGCCGTAGCCTCGACTCCATGTGTGCGTGTTCGTACACGGAATCGCTCGCGTAGCCGTGCCGTCAGTCGATTGCGTCGGCGTTCTGCCTCTTCGTTGCTAGCGTCCCGGCTGGCTTCCTCCCGTACACTTCGGAGCGCAGCAAGTCTTTCCTCTACGGTGGCATCGCGCATCCGACGGGCATTCAAGGTGCCATGCAGATAGGAAGATATCCGGCGATGTTGACGACTTGAAGTAGCGTCTGCTGCTGGTGCAGTCGCGTTGTCTTGAGATGCATTGTTGTTGTTGTTGTTGTTGTTGTTGTTGTTGTTGTTGTTGTTGTTGTTGTTGTTGTTGTTGCCACCCTCTCCCTGCTCGTGTTCTTCCTCAGCCTGTGGCGGATTGAGGTCGATCCGGCTAATGATATGTTAGCTTTCATATATGAGCGATAATGACATAGAACATACCATAATGGACAAGTGCCAGACACGTTGACCAGCCAAGGATCGATACATTCAGGGTGAAATTGATGGTTGCAGGGTAACACGCGGAGGTCCTGACCCTTGATGAAGTCATCCGTGCAAATCGGACAGGAAAAGTTTGGATGTTCATTCGGCGATTCCGTATCTGTCGCGGGTGTCGGTGTGCCTCGCCGGTCGCAGTCGGTTTCAGTCTTGGTAGGCTCGGTTTCATCATTCCGCTGACCACCAGTCACAGATGGAGGGGATCCATCGGCAGCCGGTGCGTCTCGACGCTCAATGACCCCTTCCTCCTCGGTCCCTAGGGACATCTCCACATCACCCTTAACGGGGTCTGTCTTGGGGTCAGAACTATCCCCAAATTTGACGATGGGAATCGTATCCAGCATCGCCCTTGCTATCCCTCGCGCTCGACTCTGTCGAGGCCGCCCCGCCGTGTATCGGGGGCCATAGCGTTCCGGATGACGATGGGCCCGGATAGC